CCTTTTTCCGCAGGCGGTGCTGCCATGGCGGCGCATTTGGTCCTGGAGCCGGGGCTCCGGAAGTCCGTGTTGGGTCTGGGTGAAGCTGGGGGCTTTGGCTGGGGCTCCGGCTTGGTCTTCTTTGGTTTCCCTTAAAATACCCACCAAAAGGGCGGTCTGATTGACTCCATTGCCACTTTCCTTCTGGATTCCGCTGGCTTCGGATGATTCCCTCCAGTTGCTTGTTTTCGGGGTCTGGTTGAGCCTAGCTGGACTCCACTATCAGTTCATTTGCTGGGGGATTTGAGGGCCGAAGCCCAGAATAGGGGGGCGCCCCTGCGGAACTTAGTGAAGCGGTGAGACGCGGAGCAGGGATCATTGTCCCGGGTCACTCCCCGCTGCGCTCTCCGCATGCGTACCCTGGCAAGTTTCTCTCAGGCTTACGATTCGTGAAAAAAGTGTTCTGGTACCTCCCTCATGGCGCCTGAAATTTCCGCGGCTTTGTTTTTCCCCTTTTCTTTTTCGGGTGACCTGATCGGCCCAGGCATCGCTCGGTCATCGAGGCCGCCTACGTCCCAGGAGGCCGCTCGGCCGCTCCGCGCTTTCTGATGGGAGCTGAAGGATCAGAGGGCGGCATGCGGCGCTTTGGCTTCCAGCAAGAATCCCTTCATGATCCTGGATGGTTTGGTCACTGATAGTGCCACCCTTCAATTACTGTATGACAGTAAAGCGCCAGATGCAGCTGTGACCGGGCTGACGCCCAAGGAGCCTGCTTCATTTTATGACTTCTCAGTGTGCGAGTCAACCCTGCTGCCGGCATCCAAACTAACCACCCCTCCAAAGACAGGACACTCTGCCAAGTTCACTTCCAGTGGTTTTCTGAGAACGAGGGTTTAGGCCCACTTTTTATGATACCAAGGGACCTCTCCTTTGAAACGACAAAATCGTCATGGGGATGTCCTGAGAGTTTAAGGCTGGGTGCTCGTTTCTCTTTTTGTTTTGCGCGGAGGCCAGCCTTCCACACCCAGTGGAGTGGTGGCCCACGTGATTCAGGCTGGGATATGGAGGAAGGGACCAAGGGGGCGGACCCGAAATTCGAGGGTCCAGGAGGTGCAGGTGTGCAAAACACACACTTCCAGTGCATTGGTTTGCTGGAACTCGCCCCAACAGTCAGCCAGGAATTTCTTGCTCCCGGAAGCTAAAGACGGATGCTTGTTGCGTCCAACCCCACAAGGTGTAATTCACTCGCTTTGTGTGCGCTCACTTCAGCTGCAATGAAACACTCAATGTGATGAACTCACAACATTGGCAATTGTTGATTTTGAGAGGACCTGGGCCCACCCAAACTCGTCCTCCCCCAAATGCCCTTCGGGAACCAAACGAAGGACATGTGGGCGTTGTGACTCCCAGCGCAAAAAACATGCTGAATCCACTATGGTGTTTGTTTACCACTAATTGAAGCAAATCAAAAGTACACGGATTCGTGTTTGATGGGCAGATTCCTTAGCTGTACCGCTGAAGAAGTCGTATTTGAGGGACGGCTTAAGCAACATGTTACTGCATTCTTCCAAGCAATGGAGCACAGCACTCGTCGCACCCAACCAGTCAACAAGCGATTCCTTTCATTTCCAGGTTCCTTCTTTTCAGCCTTTCAGTGTTTGCTTCTTTCCGGGGCTTTCCAAAAAAACATTACTTTTTTTTGCCCAACCTTGTCTATCTGTCTATCCCCCCCAACTCCCCCAACCCCACCCCACCCCCCCACCCCTCCCCCCAACTTGGGTGAGGCGAGCCCCAGCCTCGCCGGCACGGAGCCCCTGGTGGCACAGCAGCTGGCGCGGCTCTACGCGCGCCTCAGCTCAGCGCTTCTGGGGGGGGGGCGGGGGGGGGGGGCTTCGCGGTTGGGTGGGGGGGCTGCTGGGGGGCCGGGGGGGTGGTTGGAGGGTTTTGCTTTTGCCTTCCTGTCGTGGCAGTCGAGAAGGGATTTGGGGGAGGACACGTGTTCCCCGAAGCAACAGGCACCCCCTCCAAAAGTCCAAAAATCTACGCCGAACAAATCGGTTGCGGAGCTGTCGGGACGTACCTTGGGCCTCGGGCCTTGGGGGCTTTCCGAGGAGCGGCCGGCTGCGGGCCACGCCCTGGGCGGAGCTGCCGGAGACCGGCAAAGTGGAGGCCAGTGGGGGGGGGGGCAGCGCCCTTTGCAACGTAAGCGGAGATTATAAGAGGAAGCCACAAACTGGGGAGGGGGGAAAAGGGGGAGGGTTCCTGTTTTTTGTTAATCGGTCTTCGGTGTGACATGTGTGACTGTTTGGCCCGGAAAGGACCTTTGCTTTTCCAGTTCAAAAGGCGAACGACCTTTTGCAGAGATTTGGGTCCACTGGCTCGGCTCCCTGACAACCAGGTTTCGAACGCTGGAGTCCCATCAATCGAACCATTTACCACAGGGGAGATTACTCTCGCCAGGTGCGGCGTGCCATTCTTAGGTTGAAGGACACCAACAGGAAAGCCGAAGTCCATTTTGGGGTTCCCCTGTTTGAAACCTGGCTGTGGGTCAAAACCAACGGTACCATTTTGGGGCAGGTGAATTCACCACCCATTGTAGAACCCATTTTAGTGGTTGGATTGGTGGATGTTCACTCGGGGGGTACGGGCTTTGGGATTTTGGCCTATGGCCGCATGCCTCGCTTTCTTCCGGGCCGCAGGTCTTCACGGCCTTGCTGGAGGACGTGTCCCGAAGCCTGGAGTCGGCGGTGTGAGAGCCGAGCCGAAACAAACCGAGGTTTCACGCCGTAGCTGACGCGGGCGAACACACGTGAAGGCGGAAAAAAGGGACGAGGCGCGGAGTCCATGGAAGAAACAGTTTTTCTTTTCTTTCCGTGGGATGCGTGGATGGCAGTCGAGAAGTATGCAGCGACGAGTCCTTGTTTGCCTCATTAGGCAAGGACTGTTGGTCAGCAGTTCTCGGCATCGTTGAGCGATGGGTTGGACAAAACTACGCGACCGGAATCTCTCTACTTGCTTTCTGTTGTTGCTTCTTGCTGGTTTCTGGTTGCTGGTTGATGGTGGTTGTTGTTGTTGTTGTTGCTGTTGGTTTTGGTTTTGGCTTTGGTGTTGGTGCTGCCGCCGCCGCTGCCGCTGCTCTGTTTCAATCAGGTTTATGCCTGTGTTGCAGCGTTCTTCTTTTTTTTTAAAATGTGCACCAGAAGCCTTAGGCAAGGCTGTTGTGCACAAAGGCGTCAAAATCCCACCGCCTGTGGATTCGCATCGGCCGTCATCGTGGACTTATGTTTGTCCTTGCTGAATTGTTGGTAGCTTGCAGAGGGGCAAACGAGCTGATCCCTTCACAGGTCTCAGTTAGGAATGGAAGATCATGGGTTCTGTCAAGCAAGGAACTCCGCACAGCTCGCTTTTGTTTGCAGTTCGATTCATTTTGTGCTGTCTTTTCAGCTCTGCTTTTTTGTTTGCGTGGTTTGTTTTTGTGCTCTGTTGTTTTGCGTGTTTCTTTGTCGTTGTGGCATCCGCTGCCATCGTTATCGTCGTGGCTAGGTGCCAACGACACCTTTCCAACGCAAAAGGTGCGGGCCGCACTGTCGCACCCCCATCTTCGCCTCGATTTTTCGTTGCGCGGCTGCCCAACTGACTGGATGCAGTCATGCTGTGCTCATTGGCAATTCCAGTCGAGAAAAATATATGAAACGGAACGCTTGCTGCGGTGGAGCTGGATGTGAAGAACGGAGTTTGAGCAAGACTCACAGAGCTCGGCCGGTTTGCCTGCGCCAATATGCCAGAAGGCATGTGTGAGGGACGCTGCCGCATTGGCGTCCGCTTGGCACAAGAGCAAAGGAGACGACGCACTGCTTGACGAGCTTCCCGGCGTGTTGCGCTGTGTGCTCCGTGTTGCTGCCGCCTGCGTCCACCCGTGCTTTTGTGGCGGTTTATGACGTCGACGCCTTCCAACCTGGCTTCTGCCACTGCGGGTGAACATTGCCCGAGATGGCTCCCCCGTGAGTTCGCGGGTCAAGTTGCTTCGTGTGCCTTCCCTCATTTTCCATGTGCTCACGTTCCGGTCTGCATCGTGTTCATGCAACAACTCGGCGACCATCGCTTGGCCCACTCGTCGTCTCCACGGTCAGGCGCTTTATCAGCGTGCCGAAGGCGCGACGCTGCGCATTGTTTGCGGGCGCAAAGACAATTTACCATGAGATCCTTTCTTCCTGATTGGTGGCCACTAGGGCCCCAAGGCCACGCAGTCTTTTGCCGCCGCTCTCGCTTGCGTATCGCAGTCCACCTGCCCTTGCAGAGAAGGTGCGCGCGGATTTGACTGGCCCGTGCCGGGTACCGCGAAGCGCCCGAGCAAAGCTCGCTGCCTGTGCCCCGACGCTGGCCTGATGAACCTGGAGCCTTGCTTTTCGCCACATGTTTCCCCGGTTGCCGAATCAAAAGGCCGTCGAAACTAGAAACTCTTGATGTTCTTCCCTTGTAAGAGCCGTTGAGCGCGTCGCTTGGAGGAACATATGATCATTGCAAATGTATAAGAGCAAAAACGATTGTATTAATCGATAAAGCGTTGTCAGCAAACATGCCGATTTGGATCATTACTTGGGCTTGTCCAGTTGTTGCAGCATGGCGCCCAGGCTGGGTCGTGTAACTTGGCAAGGGCTTCCAGATGGCCGCGGAGAGCCCTCCCTCCGGGCCGCGCGTTGCGCGCTCAGGGCACAGGCTGGACCAGCACGGGATGAACTGCAGGTCGTGCAAAAAAAAATCCGGCTGCCAGCCTTGAGGGCGCGTTCCATGCACGGCGCGTGGCCACGGGAACGCTGGATCAAGGCAAGCCGGGCAAACTTTTAGAGCGCGCTCTCCGGTTAGCACGTCTAAGGGAACTTTATCGGGTGAAATGTTGCATTTGTGCGGACGCCTCTTGTGGGTCTTTCTGACCCTTCCTGACCTGCAGGCTGTCTGGCTGCAGTTGTTGTACTGCGCGTCGCCGCAGTCCATTTATGTATGCCCTCCATATCATGCACCGAGAGCTCACCCGCCACTTTGCCGGAGAACATGACGCAGCATTGCAGATGTGTTTGGGTAATGCTGGTTGGCGATGGGGGGGGGGGGGGCCACCGTCCGGCAGTCACAGCACACGGCGGGCTTGGGCTGCGGGCCGCCCAGCTGGGGCGTGCGGCGTTTTTTCGCAAGCTGACAGCCTGCCAGCTATCCGCAGGGACCCCAACCTTGCAGGGGACGCTGCGCGCCAACTTTAGCAAAATGCCCCGCATTGCCGCGTCCTAGCTGAGCTCCGGGCTGCGGCCGCCCTTTCGCAGCCGCCGCCGCATGTCGGGACGATACCCCCGGCATCGGGCGGCAGCAGGCTGCGTCTGCTTCCGCAGGTTTGCAACACGCCCGTGCACACAGTGGCCGCCTTGACGCAGCATCCGCTTGTCGCAGTCCAGTCCATGCTGCGCCCAAGCCTTCCTGACACCTTCGTCCGTGACCTCAACATCGGCAGCGCCTGGTGATGACCGCCGGAATGAGGTGCTTGCCAACGGCGTGGCTTTGTGGGGAGGTATGCAACTTGGTTTCGCGCGTCGCGCCAAGGAACGCACGTACCCGGAGCTCCTTCGGCCTGACTCGCGCTGCAGGTTGGTTGTCCTTGCACTTGACGTTGGCAGACGCTTCAGCTCGAAAACGGCGATCCTTGTTCAGCTGTTAGCACGCCTGGAATGCGTGGAGTTGTCTCGGCCGCATTTGCTCGGTGATGGTCGCCTTTCTTGGCCGCTGCTTGCCGTGCATATGCCGCCAGCCTGTGCGCCATCCCCGGTACTTCGGCCGCAGGAGTTGATGGGCCGCCGCCTCCGGTCAGCGATGTGCTTGCTGACGGCGGTGAGCCTTTTGCCGGACGCAGCCGCATCCGGTGAAAGGCGCCTGCCGTGCGAGGAGCTGGCTTCAGTTCAAGCAGCCGCGAAATCCTCCAGTGCCCGGAGGCGCCCTTAGAAGGATCCTTCCGGCGCGTGAAGGAGAAACAAGAAACGAAGAGATGTTTCTCATTTAAAAATTGTTCCTGATAGCTTTTGAGGATGTCATTTTTTTCCCGCGCGCGCCTTTTCTGCTGCCAGGTCTGTCCTCGAAACCCCCTCGTTAGAAGGGATGCCTCTGGCTTTGCACATTGGCTGGTGGTGAGGCACAACATCGCCCTCTGCTGCGACTTTTACTCGTTTAGGACAGTTGTCTCTGCGTCGACGAGGTGGAAGCAGAAGGTCGCGTGCGCAGCTGAGATGGTAGCCCGCCTTGGCATCATGTTTTGGTGCGTGCTGCGCCGCCGGCTATTACAACAGGTTGGCAGCTACGCGCGTTTCATTGTCGTCGGTGAGTTCCTTTGTCGGCTTGTGGCCCGCTCCTTCGCCAAGTTTTTTTCGTTCAACTTGCGAGCTGCACGCGAGTAAGCAGCAACAAGCAGCGCCTTGCGCCGGGAGTTCTACGCGCCTGCAGAGTAGCCTTTGGCCACGGAGAAAAAATCATCCGTTCCAGTTCGCCGTTCCAGCGGTCAACCGTGCCATGTCCATGCCTCGCGCCTTTTTTTTCTTCTTACGCACCTTTTTGCGTATGCCCAAGCGGTGGAACACGTGCTCAAAACGGAGTCCCGGAAGCACAAAGTTACCATCGCGAGATTTGGCTCAAAAATGCCCGTGTTTGCCGAAGGCCAATCATTCCGTTTGGTTGCTCTGCGCCATTGGTGGAACTCGCGCTCGGCGAAGGCAGTCAACACTTGTGCTGCCAGTCGAGTACAGCGGAGTCTGCCTCAAAGCCGCCGAGGACCTTATGGCAATGGATGCTCCTTCTCCGCGCGCCTTCTTTCCGCAGCAACTGCCTGTTGGGGGCAGGCTTGAGGGATTCGCCTCGGGGCGTTAGAGGGCTGTGCCTTAAGAAGGGGTGTTCGCCACCAGAGGATTTTGCACACCCACCCCCCACACAGCAGCATGGCCTCATGCGTGCCGACCAGCGTGGTGTTCGGACAAGAGCTAAACCAGTGGATCTGTCATCCAAAACAAAGGGCTCGGTGCTGGAAGAGAGTGTGGGCCGAGCGTGCGACCATCGGCGACGTGCTCGCCACCTGCAACTGGAGCAGGGTCACAATTAAGTTTTTTGTTTTTGTTTTTGCTTCGCGACTTTTTCCGCAGCGGCTCTGGGCATCCTGGACGCCCGCCAACAAGTCACTGATGTCGGGGCCGGGCCCGTCAAGGTTGCTAAGGCCAGGCGACGGCAGGCAAGTCAAGCTCTCAGCAAAAGCTAGGGATGCAGCCGCAGCGAGCAAGCCAGACCAGCGGTGCACGGTCGTGTCGACCGCAAGCTGCGCTCCATTCCACAAGGGCAAGCTGTTGGCAATGACTTCGATGCGGCGGTCGTCAAAACGAGCGACCGCCACATTCAGATCGCGCACCAGTGTGTTACAAGTGACACGGGCCCCCGCCTCCCTGCAAACACGAGCTGCACTCCGCAAAACACCAGACCTAGCGCGGCTGCTCGATGGTCGCCAAGAGGGTCGAGAGGGCGACGGCGCCGGCAGCTGCGCGCGGACAAGGGCAAGGGGAGGCGCAAACGCCAGGGATGACATCATTTGTCAGCAGTGACAACGTTGCGCAAACATCTTGGTTGGGGGGGAGGGTAAGCCCCGTATACAATTTTGGGCTCAAGTGCCCCCAGCCTTTTCAGGAGTAGACCTGGTTCCTTACAATGGCGGGGATTCAAGCGACGATTTTGCTCTCGGGCCTACTGCCTCCACCCATAATTTCCTGAGAGCGCCAAGAAGGAAACTAGGCCGCCCGCCGAAAAGGTGGGACGATAATTTGAGGACATTTGCACTTGAACATTTGCAAGGCAGGACGTGGATGGTGGCAGCTCGGTCAAGGCAATGGCTTGACAACGAGCATCTTTTTGTACAGTTTTGCCAAGCTACATGACTGCCTCGTGTGTTCCCTGTGTCCTTCATGGACCGTAGTCTCGGGGCAAAGGCAAAGGCAAAGGCCTACTGCCTCAGCAAGGTGTGGTCGACGCTTGGCAAGGCCTCGCAGATGCGGCACGCTGGGCCGGTATTGGCGACCTTGCCATGAGCAACCTGCTGTTACTGGCGGTGATCCCGCCTGAGACAATCAGAGAAGCACTGCAGAACGCACGTAGGGGAACTTGGGACCTCTCGCACATCGAAAAGGCTCAGATGTTGTTGGTTGTCAATGCAGTTCGAGCCAGACATGGAGCTTTGCCCGTTGGGTTGGACGATGCCAACGTTGCAGGTCAGAGAATTACACAAGCAACCACGCTGCCAACAGCGCCTGCTTCGTATCGTATCAAGATTAAGCTCGCACAAGTGATTGACCAGGGGAGTGACATTGCATCCGGATCCAAGAGCATCCAGACGCATGGCACCTAGCAGCCCAAGCTGACATCAGGTGCCGGTCAGAATGGTGGATGCAAGAGAGGCGAAGGCAGGAAGCCTTTCATGCCGCGCACAGAACCCGGAGCAGCTTTGACCCTTTGCAGCCATGGAACTCAGTGATCAAACAGAGTGCCCAGGCATCTGACTTCTGGGCAAGAGAGTTTGAGAAGCCAGCGCTCCTCTACAAAGTCAATGGGCCGCGGCCCATGCCAGCCTACACAGTGCCGGAGGCCTGGAAGGCACCACCAGCCGCAAAGCACGAAGCCAGGAGAAGAGACGGTCGCTATTTCAAGAGCAAAGGGGGGGTGAACATTTGCTACGACGGGCCCGGCATCCGGACGGGTGCAACAATGAGAAGTGTGAGCGGGACATGGCGCATGTGTGCGAATGGTGCAGGCAGCCGCGCAAGACGATCAATTGCCCGCAGGTTCCTGGCTGGAGAGATGAGGCCAGCAAGAAAGGCAAAGGCAGGGGCAAAAGGAAGAAAGGCAAGGTGCGGAAGCACCTGTGACTAAAGGATGGCTGCGAGGAAACACTGCATGAGAGGAGCGCCTGCGCGACGCCGGCAGCCACGCAATGCGTGGAGGACAGGCTCGAGTCGCTCAAGGCGCGCCTCCAAGAACGAATTCAAGAAGAGCGTGATACAGAGCGGGGGCAGAGCAACAAGAGGAGAAGAGCAGCTGAGGAGGAGAACTTCACAGACGCCACATTCTTGGAGCTGCCTGCGGGAAATGGCGGGCTGACGCTGGCCGTGCAAAGAGCAGGGCTGCCCACCTTAGCGCCTGCGGCCATAGACGACCAGGGAAGCGCCGAGGAGCTGGATCTGGCAAAGCTGGACGTCTTTAAGAGGCTCAAAAAGCGCGTTAAGCAGAAGCAGGTCAGATGGTTGCATGTCGCGGTGCATGTTCAGAGCTTCAGGAAGGAACGCAGAAAGGGCATGCTTGGCAGAACGAAGCTCCATAGGAATGCAGCAAAGCCGGCGGGTGTGGAGCCGAAGGGGCGGCTGCTGAGAGAGGCCAACTTGAGAGCATCACGAGCAGCACAGTTGGCCTTGCTCCAGAGAAAAGCTGGAGGTTGGTTTAGCATGGAAAGCGCATGGAGGTCCTACCTATGGGATTGCCCGCCAGTGGCAAGGCTGCGCCGGTTGAAGGGCGTATTTCTGTGGCAAGGCGACCAGTGCCGGTTCTGCGGAAAGCATCGCAAGCCGACTGGGTGGCTGGGAAACGCCCACTTCCTGGAGCAACTGAATGTGAGCTGCCCAGGGCCGCCGCAGCATGTGCACGTGCCGTTGCAACAGTTCACGCAGGGCTACTTGGGCAGAGCAGAATACCCACAGGGGCTGTGTGACGAGCTGGCCAAGCCGTACAAGCTTGCAGTTGCAAAGGCCAGAGAGAGAGAGCACATGCTGCAAGTCAGAAAAGAAGCTGACAGGGTCTAGGACGAAGAATCCAAGCGCTGGCACAAAGAGCAGCAAGCAGAAGAGTGCATTGGCGGACTAAGAAATCCTAAGAAATCCTTGTTCTGCCATTGAGAAGGTGCCAGGATGGCGGCCAGTGGGAGCGACACTCATGGAAGTCCTCAGCGCTTTCTTGTGTGAGGATCCAAAAAGGTTGGAAATAGTGGACATGAAAGGCAAGAGCCGGCGCCGGACGAGCTACGCAGGCTTCAGCAAATGATTGCCGGGTGCTGGAAGCTACAACCAAAGACGGGGCCGGGGCCCTGGGGCAACATGCTCGAAAAGTTAGCAGAGGTGGCAGGCGACCCGGCAGCAAGTTGGCCGCGCAAGGGCACTCTCCTAGGAATTGTGGAAGCAATCAAGCCTGGGGGGTTCCCAAGAGTGGAAGAGGAAGAGAGGCTGGAAGAATCCGCCAGGCTGCAAGCCTTGGCGGGGCTAGCAGGCGCAGACCGCAACTACGGCTCATACGAAGAACGCGCGGACGACGCAGAGAAGCTGTTCTGGAAAGAATGGGAAATGGGGTACATGGACTGGTGCCCCGACCGACAGAGTCTGGAAAGGCAGGTAGGGAAGCTCATCCCGTCTGCGGTCGGCGTGATCGTAAGAAAGGAGGAGGTAAGAAATTTCGGCTGATCCACGATCTTCGAAGGTCCGAGGTGAACGCGGCCATCAAGTTTGAGGAGCGGCTGGTTTTGCCAAGGCTCAAAGATGTGCAGGAGGATCTCTTGCGTCTTCTGGAGCAGAAGGGGCCACGGGAGAAGGTCCTAATCCTCACTATGGACTTCCGGGACGCCCTCAAGCAGCTTAAAGTCAGGCCCACTGAGCGGAGGTATCTGTCCGGCAGGACAGCGCATGGTTGGTTCGCTTACACAACGGTGCTGTTCGGCATTCGGACGGGGCCACTGGTGTGGGGACGGCTGGCAGCGCTCATAGGACGAGCAACGCAGTCGCTGTTCCACCCACATCGGGCGCGTCTCCAGACCTTTGTGGACGATCCTGCTGTGTCCATCAGGGGCACCGCTGAGCAAATCAGAGATGTAGCGGCGCGGATCCTCTGGTTCTGGCAGGCGCTAAACATGCCGCTGTCCTGGGAAAAGGGCACCTTGCAAGAAGAAGCGGTTTGGATTGGTGCGCAGATCCAAATCGACAACGTGGAGAACTCGGTCCGCTTGAAAGTGCCGCCAGAAAAGGTAGCCGAATGGAGTGAGCTGGAGAAGACCCTTCACGTGCAGCCACTGGTGCCTGTCAAAAGACTGACGAAATTCATTGGGAAGATGGGATGGGCGTCAGGCTTTGTGACGCAAGTGAAGCCGTTCGTGAGGATGCTGCATTCTGCAAAGGCCGTTAAGTCCGCTGCCACGCAAAAAGAGATGGTGTACTACAAACAGATCGCCCTGCAGCCGGAGCTCCGCCCGGAGGAGCGTTCCCTTGCCTTTTTGGATGACTTGTACTTGACAGCGCAGCCTGATCGCATACAACCGCTGTTTCAGGCTGCGCCCCGGTGCCTGTATGAACGTGCCCGCATTTCCCTTAATCACGCAAAAACACGTGTGTGGAACGCAGCCGCAGTGGAGCCGCCAGGCCTGGCGGACATCACCGAGGCAGAGCAAGGCATTACCGTTCTAGGAGCCCCTTTGGGCGGAAATGCATTCGTGCGGGCCCAGCTCGACGCAGTGCGCAACAAACAACTTCGCCTCCTGCAGGTCCTCCCGACCCTTCCTGACCTGCAGGTCGCTTGGCTGCTGTTGCTGTACTGCGCGTCGCCACGGTCCAACTATGCACTTCGTATCATACCCCCAGAACTCACCGATCTTTTTGCCATTGAGCACGACGCTGCAGTGCAGAGATGTTTCAGTGCAATGCTGTTTGGAGAGGACGGGGGGGCGCTCCCGGACACGGCCAGTCGGCAGTCCCAACTTGCCTTCCGCCATGGTGGACTAGGGCTGCGTTCAGCCCGGTTGCATGCACCCGCGGCGTTTTGGGCCTCGTGGGCTGACAGCTTGTCGGCGATCCAGCGCAGAGATCCCGACCTCGCGCAACATATTGTACGCCAACTTGAGCCGGATGTGCCTTGTTGCCGTGTCCTGGACACGCTCAAGGCAACCGTGACCCTGCTCGCTCGGCAGGGGTTTGAGGCCCCTCAGTGGCACCAACTCCTTGGCGACGATGCGCCGCAACCACATGATGTTGAGGACGATGCCCCTGGCATCGGGCGGGGGTGGCAGCAAGCAGCGTCGGCAGCTCTTGACTTGCAAAGTGCGGCTGCCCACAGCGACAACTTGGATGCAGCCTCTGCAGCCATGCTGCTGTCCCAGTCCGGGCCGTGCTCAGCCCAGGTCTTCTTGATGCTCCCCGTTTGCCCGGAGTTGACTTTGGAGCCCGCGCATTTCCGTGTGTTGCCGTTGCGACGCCTGCGCTTGCCCTTGCCTTTCGTCCCTGCGCGATGCCGGTGTGGAAGGGAGCAGGACGCTCTTGGCGATCACCGCTCTGCATGTCCGCGATCTGGTGTCTTGCGAGCACGGGGCGGCCTACTTGAACGGGCGGCAGCGCGCATTTGTCGTGAAGCAGGGGCCGTGGTTGCTATGCACACATTGGTCAGGGACCTCAATGTCGGCAGCGTGCCCGGAGATGACCGGCGGATTGAAGTCATAGCCAATGGCTTACCCCTGTGGGGTGGCATGCAACTTGCTGTGGATACCACGCTGGTGTCGGCCTTGTCCTCTACAGGTGCCCCGCGGCGCTACCAGAACAGAGCCGAGGGCGCAGCCCTGCGCCAAGCCCGACGGGCCAAGGAGCGCACATACCCGGAGCTCCTTCGCCCTGACTCGCGCTGCAGGCTGGTGGTCCTTGCGCTTGAGGTTGGCGGGCGCTTCAGCCCGGAAACCGTGGACTTCGTGCAGCGGCTGGCGCGGGCGCGTGCGAGAAGTGTGCCGCCTCGTGTGCGCGGCGCCGTGTCGGCTGCCTTTGCCCGGCGCTGGTCCTCCTTCTTGGCCGCGTACGCTGCCAGCCTCTTGGCCTTGCCCGCCCACTCGGCCGCAGGTGTCGATGGGCCGCCGCCCTTGGTCAGTGACGTGCTTGCTGACGGCGGGGAGCCGTTTGCCGCGCGCAGCCGCGTGCGGTGAAGGGTGCACGTGAGGAGCTGGCCTCCGTAAAAACAGCGGCAAAGACCTCCCGTGCCCGGAGGCGCCCCTTAAAATCCCCCCTGAAACGCCTTGAAGCCACTGCGGAACAAGGCGCGCGCGCGGAAAAAAAAACAGATCCAACCGGCGTTGAGGTGGCTCCGGACATTTTTGGATGGGGCAGCAAACGGACTGGATTGGAGGGTCCGGGCGCACCACAGGCACTGCTGCGCCATGGATGTGCAGCTAGATGCCTCACCGTGGGGAGGAGGAGCAGTCCTTTACAGAGACGGCCGGCCAATTGAGCTGCTAGCACTGACATGGACAAAAGAAGAAGAGGCCAAACTGCAAGCGAAGATCAGAGAACCAGCTTCGCAGGCAACCTGGGAATGTTACATCGTGCTCCGAGACTGTGGTGCTGGCTGACAGACCGAGACCAAGGGTTTGTGAGGATCCGAGGCGACGCTGAAGGCGTCTTAGCAGCGCTGCTCAAGCGATCATCAATATCACCCTTGTTGAACAAGGTGGTGGTTCAAATCACTCTGACTCTGGCAAGACAGTTTCGGGCGTTGGAAGCCCTACACGTGTGGAGCGAACAGAATGTGTGGGCGGACGCCTTGAGCAGACTGCATGATCCCAATGACCCAGCATGCGCGCGGACAAGGGCAAGGGGAGGCGCAAACGCCGCAACAGAAGGGCACGCAAGTGGTCAGAAGGGAAGGTGAGCTCGGGGCAGGACGGCACACTGCAGAAAGGTGCTGTAGAAGCCGCAGGTTCTGCCACTCTCGCTGCTCGCCTGCAGTTCGTGGCCAGTGGGCGTTGGGTTTGGAGGGGGGTGGCAGGAACCCAGCCCTCCACTGGGTTCGGGCCGCCCGCGGTCTGGTTTGCTCGCTTGACGTCAAGGACTTTGATCTTGTCACTTGGCGGTTGCGCCTGTTTCGTGAGGATTGCTGTTTTGGATGCATTCAAGCCGGGCGGACATCAACAAGTTCATCTACCCAAAATTTAACATTTCGAGCGTCTCAGCTGCGCGTCGAACAAACAACAAAAAATCATCCGCAAATCTCAAGTCCAAAAGTCGTGCCATCCCGTCATGCAAATCAAAACCCGCAGAATCGGCACAGGAAGGGCGTGGGCTCAGTACACTTCCTTGTCGAACACCTGCTCGGATTGGAAACTCGTCGTTAACATCCATGTCTGTCCACGTTGCTCGTAGTACAGAGATTGCATCAGCCAAATGAGATGTGCAGAGACGCCGCGCGCCAAAGAGCCCGTCCAGTTCACCTTGTCAAATGCTTTGGACTGATCCAAATCGGAATGTTGGCTAATCAAATGCTCTTGCAAACAGCGCCATCCTCGAATCCCATGTTACTCTTCGGCTGCTGGGCTTACCACATGCACACACACATGTGCACATACACACATACACACATACACAGCTACACCCACGCACCCACACACCCACGCACCCACACACCCACACACCCACACACCCACACACCCACACACCCACACACCCACACACCCACACACCCATACACCCGTACACGCACGCACACACACACAAACCACACACACACACACACCCACACACCCACACACCCACACACCCACACACCCATACACCCGTACACGCACGCACACACACACACACCACACACACACACACACGCACACGCACACGCACACGCACACGCACACGCACACGCACACGCACACGCACACGCACACGCACACGCACACGCACACGCACACGCACACGCACACGCACACGCACACGCACACGCACACGCACACGCACACGCACACGCACACGCACACGCACACGCACACGCACACGCACACGCACACGCACACGCACACGCACACGCACACGCACACGCACACGCACACGCACACGCACACGCACACGCACACGCACACGCACACGCACACGCACGCACACGCACACGCACACGCACACGCACACGCACACGCACACGCACACGCACACGCACACGCACACGCACACGCACACGCACACGCACACGCACACACCACACGCACACGCACACGCACACGCACACGCACACGCACACGCACACGCACACGCACACGCACACGCACACGCACACGCACACGCACACGCACACGCACACGCACACGCACACGCACACGCACACGCACACGCACACGCACACGCACACGCACACGCACACGCACACGCACACGCACACGCACACACGCACACGCACGACACACGCACGCGCACACGCGCACGCCACACGCACACACACGCATGCACATGCACATGCACACACATGCACATGCACATGCACATGCACATGCACATGCACATGCACATGCACATGCACATGCACATGCACATGCACACGCACACGCACACGCACACGCACACGCACACGCACACGCACACGCACACGAATACGAATACGAATACGCAAATGTGCGCGCGCACGCGCACGCGCACGCGCGCACATGCGTATGGCGGTCGCTGATGAATACACATGTGCATCATTGCTGTGATTTGCATCTTGGCCAACTACGAAGTTCTGGCTCCAGGGAAAAGTGCCAGCTCCATTACAAGTGCCCAAGTGAACCACATATTGCCCGAGCTGTTTCGCCACCCTGCAAAATAAAACAGCAACTCCCCACCAAGCAACAGGAACTTCACCAAGCCATTAGGCGGCCTGCTTCTGTAGGGGGCAAGGGCCACGCCCAACAGCAAGCCCACCATTTGGGCTTGCAGCCAGCGCCGATGAGCGACTGAAGGACCGCAAAGCCTGGCTGACGTTGGCTTAGGCCATGTGCCACGGTGTGTGCAAAAAATGAACAGGGTTTTTGCCTTGGAGTTCGCAAAGTTGACCAGACACATTTAAAAACCGGCACAAACGACACCAAGCAAAAAGGGTCAAACCTGAGTGGACATCGCATATCTTGTCATCCTGCTCAATCCTTATGCTGCAACGGTGTCCCACAACTTGCAGATAAGGAAAAATTGGATTCAGCCTACAAATTTTCAGCAACAACAAATGGCGCATACGGGCCTGTTTCTTTGGAGGGCACCCTTGTTGGGGATGGTTGGTAAGAATGACAGACGCAGATTTAGTGGCTTTCTCTTCTTTTTGAAAAGCCGGGTGGGGCCCCCGCAAATGTGATGCGGTTGCCTTCGGCCAAGGAGTTCCGGAAAGGGCTCATGGAGCGCCGCCGGGAGCGGCTGTCCGCGAGCTCGGAACGGCATGAGATCCCTAAAGGGCCCGGGGTTGGTATTCATGGTTTTCAATCTGGTTTGATTTGGGGGCGTTGAACTTTCATGTTTGTTGTTCCCCTGAGATTGAGTTTGACACGGAGCCCGCTTTTGAGAGCCTTGTTTGGTTCCATTTCTATCTTGAAGGGGGAAATCCCTATCATTCGCAAGGCTTGGTTCTGGGTCACTTCCATGGCTCACCTATCCTTGAGAGGGAGGCCAAAACAAGGGAGCAGTTTCCGACCAGAGCCTCCGAAACGCTGTGTGTTGTTTTGCTGTTGCCTTTGCCTTTGTTTCCCTGCTCGCTGCCTCCCTGAGGTCGCGGACGTCCTTCAACTCCAACTCCTCGCGTGTCCAGTCCGTGTCCTCCTATGGAGAAGAGGCCAGGAGGAGTCGGACGGATGAGAGCCTTCCAAGGCAAGGCGTTCAAGAACCCATAGGTACGAGGAAGCTTGGAAAGCAGACCTTTCTGGATGAGCCCAGTTTGAAAAAGGACCCCGGCCCACCCTGTTGCGGTGGCATTGCTGGCGCTCCAGCCAAGTTTCGAGCAGGATGTGTTTCTTTGTTTGCGTATGTGTGTGGGCTCGCACGTTTCGTTTGCCAGTCACGTGCTGCAATACCAGTCAATGCAGCCAGGGTTTCCGGCTGACCAGGCCATTAAGGGAAGGACCGGTCAGTGAAGGCGACTCATCTCCATATCTTGAGCATGGCACGGGCCCAATGAAAGTAGGAAGGCCGCTCTCATCCAGGGCACCTGAGGGGACCGCACCCAGCGCCCAGGGACGGTCGAACGGAGTCTCTGAGTTGTCGACGCGGGACAGCAAAATCGCTATCCGCTTGACGTCCAAAGAGATCAAAACGGAGGCTTGAGGGGGGGGGATTCGGGCCTGCCTGCTTTGCGGATGTCGGGGGAGTTGAAAGCTGAGGTGTCTTTCAGCTTTTTCGCTTAGTTTAATCAAGGGTTGTTTTCAAGACCCACCAAACGACGCAACAAGATCCGTCGTAGCGCTTTTCGCGGACTATCCCGACAATTGAGCCCGAATAATGTATACATAATTTCTTTGCATCGCTGCGGGCACACCCGACCAACGCACATTTTGGCGGCACATGATTGAAGTCGGAGCATGGAGCCCCCCCCCAAATTTGCGCAGCAATCCCGCCCCCCTCTTTGCGCAAACCCTTTTGGCAACATGTTTCTTCAGGACACACTGGCACTCCTAGCATTGCCACAGGGGACCCTTGCACGACCTGTTCGCTTAAGCAGGTTTTTGTGGCAAATTGGGCAACTTTGTTTCAATGTTTGCTGCTCCAAACAGTCGTCGGCGCCCCAAAATGAGCCACCCCCTGATCAACCAAGGGCTTTCTTTGGTTGTCATTGCAAGCTGCAGATGGCCAAGAGTCACAACGCCAGGCCATTCGGCCGCCGCTGCGGTGGTACGTGAGGTGTTCGGCCTGCTTGGTGGAGAATACCATTTTTATTAGCCCGGCGCCTAGGGCGGAGCAATGTATTTGCGGGGATGTGTTAAAGACAAGTTGGACCCTTTGACGGACGGCTTTGCACAAGGAGCCCCATATTATATATTCGGGTCGCCCTGGGGTTGGTGGGTCGGGTTGGAGTTCGGCGCTTGCGGGAAGGGGTGCGGAACGACCTGGCAACGCCTTGTAGTTGGAGCCTGGGCGCAGCGAACCTGTCGTACTTTGGGATGCCGCATCACTTTGCGCTTTGGCTTGGAGCCAGCCCCAAGGTTTCACGACGGTGCTGACGATCTACGCACTGACTGGGGATGACCTCCGGGTCCTCATGACAGAGAAGCCGGCGGATCTCTACTTCAACGTCCTAGCCGCGGCCTCGATCATGGGCGCCGGCCCAAAGCGGTGTACATGCTCTCTTGAACACCGGAAGTGCTGCCCCTTTTGATTTTCGGGGCCCGCCTTCGAACACTTCGTGGGTTTTGGCTTGGCTGGCCTCGCGTTCAAGGACGAACAACAGGAGCAGGAAATGGAGATTACCATGCAGCAAAGGGCAAATGAGCAAATCAGTGCTCTCCAAGCAGTCAGGTGAATTCACCAAATACTCCCTTCTGAGCAGGTGCTCGTGTGCATCGCGATCTTTAGCTTTGAAATTCTCATCTCTGTGATGGGCAAGGCACGTTGGCCTGAGAGGACTGTCGGGTTAGAGTGGGCTTGGACATTTTTTGCAGGCGATTCGGCTACCTGGTTAAAAGAAACGATCCTAGTGGGTACACATATGTAAGCCCAAAGTTGAAGAAAACGTCAACGAGCTGTGGGCGCATCTCAAGGGCCCACAAAGTACAGCGTTTGCCAAAGGAGGCGACAAGATTTATCGATATGTTTGGCATTTATTGGTTGCGGGAAATTGAGCTCTTGCGTTTTTTCCTGCCCCACGCCTGACGCAGTCCGTGGCCAAGCGCGGGCGCGGTGTTGCCGATTTTCACATTGACGGGACCTGGAGGCTTCCCCACCCATGAATCATGTTCAAAGACCTCTGCACCCTAAGGTTCTCCTTAGCCATGCTTTTGGACTCTCAACCGCCCCACTTTGCCTTTGCCTCTCCGTCCCTTTGCCTGCCTTTATGCCATGTGGCAACCATTCTGAAGTGTTTCCACCCTTGGATGTTGTTTTCCCAGGCAACCGAAACATGGGAACCGTGGCTCGGACTTCTTGATGGGGTCTAGCTGGTCTGGTGCAGATGGGAGTTTCTCAAAATTGTGGACCATTGTGGACCCCATTTTGGTAAACAAGGGCAAAAAACACGCGAACCGACTTGGGGGGACTTGGCTCCCTATTTTGAGGTTCCCCACCCCCAACAAACCTGGGAACCACTCCAATCTTATGGGGATGCCTTATGTTTGAGGGGGGATGTCTCCGATGGACTCACCGCAGTCCGACTATTTCCTGGGCTTCTTCTTCGTTTTGGACTTCATCTCCACCATCACCCTGGTGCTGGACCTGACCTGGGCAGGGGGGCCCCGGCGAGGACCCGAACATGGGAGGGTTTCCCTTCGACCCGTGACGTTTTTTTTGTTTTTGTTTTTTTTTGTCCCCCTTCTGCGGGTGAGGGAAAAAAGCCAAAGCAAGATCACGCCCCTGAGGACAAGGAGGGAGGCTAGGTTCTTGGATGGTTTGCCCGTGTTTCTCGGGGTACCTTCCCCATTCTTTCCAGGCATCCTTCTTTCTACAAAACCACCCCAAAGTATGGGGAAACAGCTGGTTTTTGAAAAGAACGATGGTTGAACAAAATGGGACTCAACCCCCGGAATGTTCGGCTCCAAACCAACTGAGGGATCCGGTGCAGTAGCTGCTGGTTTCTCTGGCAGCGATGCTGTGACCCAGATGATCCAAGCTCCGAAGTGACTCAAAAAAGAGGCACGCTGACAAACACAGCACAGCCTCAAGTTTGCCCATTGAAAGTCACGTCGAGGTTGATGTTGTTAAGCATGCGAAGCTGCACGCCTGGCCCGATGCCAAGCGGCATGTGGTCACTCAATCGGAGCCAACGAGAATGGGCTCGCCCACCCGCAGAAAATCAACAACACGTCTCCCCTCAACTAGGAGCACTTACCCACAAAGCGAATGGTGTCATCTACCTTCATCCTACAAGTTCCCCCCCCAAATAAGAAAGAAAAAGAAAAAGAAACCTTGGCAATCTGCCAGGGTCCTTTTTCCATGCCGGTATCTTTGAAAATAAGAAGGCCTTCCTAGAATGTAGCTACCGGCTTTTCACACGACCTTAACCCCAACCACTCCCGCCCCCCAACCAAAACCCCCTCCCCCTCGCCTTCCCCCACAAACCCCCCCGACCTCTTCCCCCCCCGCCCCCTTTCCCCCCAAACCCCCTTCCCCCCCCAACCAAAACTCCCTCAACCCCCCGGGCTCAGGTCAATGATGCCCTGGCGGGTGGCGGCAGTGACTCCGGCAGCGACAGCAGCTCCTTACGCAGCGGGAGGCGCACACTTGGCACCTGGATCTGGGGCCCCACCCTACTTTTGGGGTGAGTGGTCCCTTCGTTCGGCCACTACAAAGTGGATGTAGTTGAAATTGAAGGGGTTAGAACAGGGTTAGAACATGGTACTTGGCCCCACTCTTGACAGGACCATTCAGAACCATCCAGGAATCCTTTTATGGGCCTTGTGGATCGAAACAAATGGTTGGGGGACAGCAGCCGCCTCTCAGGTTGGAACGGAGCGAGCAACCCTCATAAGGATGTTTGTGGTTGTGTTTGTATTCGTTGTGATGGCTCAGGATGGGTATGAGGAGCATTCTTTTTTTTTTTTGTGTGTGTGTGTGTTTGTTGTCCTGTATTTGCTCGCTGGAAAGTTGCCTGGCTTCGGTTCCTTTTTGGCTTTAGTTGCTTTGGCCCCCCCCTTCTACGTATTTTGGCGCAAGCAGTTTTTTCGGTGGTTGGGCGGGTGACTTGCCAATTCTTGATTCATGATCTAGGGATATTTGCCTGAGACCTTGAGGATCAGGCTGCCTCACCAATGTACCAACCACGAATACGGTAGATTGCTTGGTCTAAAATCGTCCTTGTTCCATTGCCACTGGCCGGAGGGGCTACAAGTAATTCCTAGAATCGATGCCAACTCATTCGCAATCAAATGCCAGAACAGCGCGCGTGGGCGCCAAAGCAGCGCGGATGATTCGGGTGCTGCGGCTGGCGGGGGGGCCTATTGCGAGCGCAGCTACCGAGAGCGCGCACCCTGGCCCTGGCCGATATCTTGCGTCGAATTGGTAAGTTGCAGCATGACAGAACATGTGCAACTGGGCATTTGGTCTGGGCATGTGCACAAGCTGCTTCCACCCTTGCGTTGAACCAAAGAAGAGTCCAAGTGGCCACTGTCCAACTTGGGTGACATTCAGGTTCGGATCCTGAAGCTGTACAAGGCTTTGTACGAGGCGCCGATTGTTTTTGCCGAGCATCGCTCGTCACTTCGCAACGCCAGAGATGGACGGGCGCTTCGTGCCAGGCTGATCGAGAGCGCTTGCGGCGCAGACAAAGAGAAAGAGAGGTGCTCTCCTCATTTTCGACATCACCCACGAAGCAATGTATGGAGAGGGGCGTGGCATATCGGAAGGGCCCGCTTTCGGTTCGGTGGGATTGTGGCAATCTGCGTTCTTTTGCCGAATGGCCCTTGCCTTTGGCCAAGGCCAAAGACAAGAAGGCCAACGATGACGAGTGGGACGAAGAGGATGCTGAGACGGTTGTAGGCCTGCGTGGTTCCCGCTTTCCAATGAGCCAGGGGTATCAAGTAGTAGGCCTGCCTATGCTTTGGGTTTCGAGATCCAAGTCTTGGGCGGATTTAATTCTTGTTTCAGGCCTTTCAGGTTTTGGAATCACATTTGCAAAACCAAGCACCAAGCAAAAGAACCATTGAGCAAATAGCTGCCACCAGCTTCGGTTGTTTGATTCATCGCGCGCGCTTCACAGATGCAGAGATGAATGCCGGAGCCCTATCAGCTGGTCGTAGCCGCGTGCCATTAGTTCTTTTCCTCCTGGATATCCCGCTGGGCCGTTTGCGAGGGAAGACGTTCGGGATCGCCTTGCCCCCACAAAGGTTCTGAGAACTGTTTTCAAACCACATCCACCAAGAGATTCTCTGAAGCTTCCCTTGCAGGCCCTCAATCTGGAGAGCATCCTGTGTGCCCCTGCCATATTATCAGGCGACGACGGGTCAAGAGTCGACTCTGGGCAAGAAGCTGCTTGTGCCTCAGTGGGGTGGGCCCCTTGAAGCGATGAATTTGAGGGGTTCTCAACATTACTTTAGGGGTGGTCTCACTTTCAGCCACAAAATTTGGCCATTCTTGGAAAGACAGTTTGGGGATATCACTTCAATGAACTTGTGCGTGCATTGAAACTTGGATATTGCGCCATGGGTGCAATTGCTACCCTCCAGCATTCTCATGCAAAGCGGAGGGGTCCGTTCGTCCATCCATCCATCCATCCATCCGTCCGTCCGTCCGTCCATCCGTCCACCCACCCACCCACCCACCCACCCACCCACCCCACCTACCTATCCGCTTTGCCCATTTGACCTTGCCTGAGGCAAGGCGCCAATATGTGCAGACATATGCATTTTTGCACGCGGAAATCAGCTGGGACCTCAACATGGACACGGGATGGCTCAGGTCGGAGATGACCACCCGCCGAGTGATCATTCTCATCCTGGCCGCGCTGGCATGTGCACAGATGTTCCTTTTAGATGAGTTGGTTAACGCAGGATTGGACTGGTTCAATTGTGTACTAGTGCCATCTATTGTTCCCCAAGAACGGCCGGGGGTGTGTGTTCCTCGCATTTACGCCGCGTGTTTGAGCGAGCGAGCGAGCTTTACAGCTGATAAGTGGCTTCGGCCGGGCTCCAGCCGGCCATGCATGCGCCGCAAGGCTGTTTGAGGGAATGGCCCGTCAGCGGTCCTTCCCTATGTATCTCCAAGTCTTCCCTACGGATCCGGTTGAACATGAGAAACCACTCAGAGGCTTGAGCAACGCCAAGGCGTCAAGTGTCGCGGCTTTTGGCTTTCTCAGCGCCACAAGGGCAACTGACACCGTCCCAAGTTTGCAAAACAAAGAGGGGAAGCCACAAATCCGGGGCCAGTCTGTTGCTTCTCGTGGGTGCTCTAATTTGCCCATTGGACTTGAGAGGTAAAAACCGCAGGCCATGTTGCTGGTACTTCCGCTGCTCTCGGTGGACGACATCCAGCAGAGCCCTTTCTCTGCAGAGCCGGGGGGCCCAACGCATCGCCAAAGGATGCGAGGCTGGTTGCAGTTGAATGGGGATATTCCAATCATTGGTTTAGAATCCCCCTTAGGTTACCCACACAGGAATGAAGCCTAGTTTTAAGCTCGTATAGGCGTGTGGGTGTGTGTGTGTGCGCGTGTGTGTCTCTTGAAGGGGGCCGTTTTCCAGTTGACTTCCAGCTGCTTTTTCAGTTGTAGTTTCCTTTGAGGATGCATACTGGCCTTTTTAAAAGCTACCTTCATCAGCTGTTTCAAGAGATGTTTGGATGTACCAGGTGTCTTTTGGGGTGCTAAGAGGCCCTGAGATTGGCTTGGGCGTCGTATCCTTCGTTGTTTCCTTCGGCTTTTCCTCCCCTTTCCAGTTCAGTCACTGAGTGTGACACTGTGGCCGAGGTATGGCGCGAACCAGGTCTCGGAGTCGTTCAAGGAGTGTATTGCCAAACTTGGCCTTGCCGATGGCCTGTGCGCAGCTGTTGGCCACAACATGGAAGGTCCTTCCAGCAAAATGGTCGGTGCATTGAGTCAGAATCCAAGTGGTTTTGCCTGGGCCTAGCCGATATGTATCACTTCTAGTGGTCGGCTTGCGCAGGACTACGACGCTTCTGGCCAGGCTGTGGACCAGCAACAGTACTACAGTTCTCTTCTCACCTATGTGCGGGTCCCAGGGTACGCTTGATTCCGGAATCTTCCCCCCCCCCCCCCCCACGGCATTTTCAGCGGTTGCATGGCTCGGCGGCTTTCTGAAGCGCTTCAGGTCTACTACCACAATTGGTATGCTGGCAAGGCGGCTGTCAACCCCTACTGCCCGTGCGCGTCGCCCGATCGCGCCCGATTGACTCGTTGGCCAGCCCCACCTTTTCGGGCCAAACTGTCAGGTTGCTTCAGGCCAATCACTTTCATGGCCCATGGGGTTTTGGTCGCTCCCAGGGGCTAACAGGCTGCAGGCTCAAGTCTTTTTTGGGCCCTTGCGATTGGGGACTGCGTGCCAGATCGCCTGCCACCATTGGGAGGTACCAGGACATACCAAGCTGTGCCAACGGCTTTTGGGGCCGGGGCCCTGCGCACGGCGCAACCTGTGTAGGGCAGCTAGTCCAAGTAGGCTGTGGGAACATTGGGAGATATTGGGAGCCACCAATCACTACCCACATACATGCGCTCCCCCAAAAGGTTTTGGCTTTGTAAGGCTTTTGAATCTTATGGGGAGCATGTGGCAAGCAGCCAAATGAGACCAAGTTTTTGGGATGGGTGGTGCTAAGGCCAGGGCCCTTGGTTTGCTCGCTAGTTTCTATCCAGCCAGCGTGTTTGACCCCGAGGCAGTCATGGGTTGAAGGAAATAGGTTGTTAATCAGGGCTTCCCAGGGGTGCCTCACCATCCACAATACGGGCATGTCTTGACATGGACCCTTCGGGGTTGAGGCCGCCTTGCGAGCTCCAAGGTGCTGTCCGGCTAAGTATACCTTTGGCATCCCTTTCATGCTTCCAGGTATTGGACCTCTATCTTTCTCGTAGTGGTTATGTACACCGGTGCCGTGGAATATTCCAGCACCTGGGGGAATGTCGACCCGGGATTCATCGACGTTGTGGATTATTAGGACGCCCGCTTGTTGATCAACCAGGGCTTCGATCGGCTCCCAATAGGCACACCCTTCAGTTTAGGTGTCCTCTTCATTCACTCCCCTCCTTTTTGGAGGGAGGGGAGGGTTTAGGACCATCACTTGCTTTTGCCCGCGCACATAAAGGCAATAGTGGCATGCCTGCCCAGCTTTCAGCCTTTATTGGCAGAACGTCACCTTTCAATCAAGAATGAGTCACCGAGAGTCACCCAGGCGTTAGGAGCAAGCCCTGAAATTGGAATTCTTGGACCCACTTTCTTGAGGGCAGGGGTGTGTGGCTACGCCGCTACGCTTTCGGGCTCGGATTCCAAGTACGCCTTGGGACCTCCATCCACGAGGTCATCTCTACTTCGTGGGCATCGGCGGCACCAACAGCGTGCTGGTGGACTCGAAGGCCCCGGGATTTTTTGGCATCTGCTACGGACCTGCCTTCGATCGGTTTCACCCAATCGCTTTTGGAGAGCTTGGGGCTGTGCACCAGGCAAGGGTGTTTGTCGGAGCTTGGGTCCATCTCTACGTTTTTTCCGTGAATTGTCACCACGGGGGCCATGGCTCAATGGCCCTTCTTCAGCCGAACCTGCATTGGCAAGTTGGGAGGGGACAATTGTCATGAGAGATAGAACAGCACACACACACAGAGTGTTCATTTTCTCAGTCGGGAGGGTAAACACATCAGAGTGAAATTGGTTGGCACTTCCGGCAAGGACTTCGACCGGGTTTGGTTGCTCCGGTTGGTCAGGCCGCGAAGGCGAAGGTGAACCTCACCTCCGTCCTGGACTTCAACCAGCGGTCTCAGGCCAGGGCCACTAGCTTCATGGCCTTTGGACCCAGATATGAGGCATGGCTTTGTGGCTTGGTATGTGGCTTTGATTCTGTGGCTAGTCGGCTTCGAAAAGGTGTTTTGTCTGTTCAGCTATGAGCTAAATGCTGGCGTCGGAAAGGCTTGACACTCTTCTTTTCACTTGGAACATCGCCACTGCTCACACCAGCCCTACCCCTAGACTTGAGCGCAAGACTCAGAGGCGCTTGAGTGCCCATCTAGCGCATCGCCGCGTTCTGGCTCGAGCGATTTTGAGATCACCGCCAGGTTTTTGAACAACTCGAATCGCCATGGCCAAGTCCAGTCTGCTCCCGGTGATTCTGGCGGCCTTCGCCCTGGGCTCCTTGTCCTTTGTGGGCTTCCAGCCGGCAGCCCGTGCCGCGGACAACCGCGTGGCCATGAGGGGAGCTGCGGTGGAGTGGGACCCCAAGCTGAGCCGAGATGTGGTGGAGGTCATGTTCACGGCTCCTGCACAGGGTGCCCGTGCGCGCATGCTGGTGCGATCGGACGCCGATGTCATGGAGGTGCTGAAGGATGGACGAAAGAAGCTGGGCTTTGACCAGGAGTGGATGCCAGACACCGACTTCAAGCTCTACAACGCAGAGGATGAGGATGCCGGACCTATGAAGGGCAAGATGAAGGACAACGGTCTCATTGACTTCTCCTTCGAGATCCACATGTACTACGAGCCGCAGTGAGCCGCAGATTTCTTTCTCCCGGGTCTCTGTCTCGCGACCGTTTCTTGATCGCCAAAAGAACGAAACACGGGGCAGCTTCACGGCCCATTCCGGCGTGTTTCCACAGGAAGGCCATGTTGGATCGCGCTTTGCCAGCTTGCAAGGTCTTTCGAATGAACCCTAATGGGGGGTGTCCCCTTTCAGTGGGGATTCAGACCACTTGCAACACCCCCCTAATAATGGAACGGGTTTATTAATTCTGGGTCAACTAAACTGCTGTCCTTGTGGGGGACCGAAAGCGCGTCCAGGCGGAGCCGCAGGCCATCTACAACCTCGGGGTGCTGCCCGGGCGTGCGCAGGCCGCTTGTGTGCAGGTACCAGTTGTGGTTTTGGGAGTGAGGAGGGTGAGCATTGAGGTTCACAGGCAGGTCAAGCTATGTCCCCCCTGAACATGCTTCTCCCCTTCTTTTTCTGAAGCTCCGCAAGGCAAGTTTAAGTTAAAGTGAGTTTCCTTTCGGTAGGGTGATGTATGTTCAGGGGGAATATGGGAGGCTCACTGCCGAAGAGGGTTTGACCGTCTTGACCATGTTCGCTCCCCTTTAATCCGTTCCCAAAGTTTGTGCGTGACGTGGGGAGACTTTTGGCCAAGTTTGTGGGGCCACGTGGAAATGGAAGCTGGCCGTGAGCAGCGAGCGGATCAGGGTTCCCATGATGTTCCCATGCATCAAGGCTGAGAGATCCGACCAGAAGCTTTAAGCCAAAGTTATTGCGGCTGGCTTTGCCAACCTAACCCAAGGGAAGCCAAAGGAATCTACCCTCCCACCAAAGTTAATTGGAACCTGATAGGGTCCTGGAAGACCATGTTCCTTTCAAAGGACCCTGGGCCCTGTCAGGTTCCGTGTGAACTGGTTGGAGGGTAAGTCAATTCACTCGTTGCCAGGAGCTCCTCGCGGGGGAGTGGGCGACATCGTGCAACTACGCGGACAGTCTGCTGAAAGGCCGCGGGGTTTTGGTTCAATTGGGAGGGGCTTGGGGCCAGTGTGTTTCAATTGTGGCCGACTGAGGGATTTGTTTGGCTCCGGGTGCAGGGTGGCCAATTCTTCCTAGGCTGGAGTCCAATTTTTCCAGAGCCCGGTTTTCACTCTTGCCCGGAACCGTGCTTCCATCTCGTCAAGACGAGGAGCAAAAACACCATTGAACGCACCACCAGACCACATCAACTTCAAGAACCCCCGAAACAGAAAATCCCTCTTTTAACGGCTCCCACCTTTCCATCCCTCGTCCTCCCATTTGACTGAGATCTGCGTGCGGCTGATGCACCGGGCCGGGTCTTTTGAACTCAGCTTTCCAGGCGTCTCCTTGATCTCAGAGGACGTGGATGGGGCGGTCTCGTACCCCGCGGCTTGCCCACAGGCAGCGGTACGGAAGGGACGGCCTTGCTCAGGAAGCGGCATTCACGGGGCACACGCAAACCGAGATCCGCTTTGCACCCCTCCTCGGGGAATTGTTGGGATGTCTCCCTGCCAGGATCTCCGTGTCACCGATTCCCTGGCGTACTCGCCAGTTTGGCAGACGCGGCACTCCTGGCAGGCCGGCTGCGAGTCGATCGGATGCACATTTGCCACGTTTGAAACTCGTATTTCCATCTGATTGCGGAAAAAGATAGATTTTATTGGTTGTTTGGGCCAAACAGATAGCAAGAATCAACTATTTGGAACCCCGGCTCGAATCCCCCTGTGCCACTCCCAGGCGGTCGAATGGGCTTGCATCCGTTCGGGGCACTCTCTTTTCAGGGCCTGAGATTTTGCTGCTCGTGCGCTGCTAGCTTTTCGTTCACCCCCTCCTCAAGTGATCTTTCTGAGTCCAACTTTGCCCAAGATCGCTTTGGCATTGAGCGAATGGAAAAGAGACTCTGCTGCCCTCGAACTGATGTAGCAGGGTACACCATGTGTAACCTCATGATTTCTAGTTAGGGTCCAGGTGAGGTTTCATGACCGTTGAAGCAGGATTTCAGACTCAGTTTCTCCCTGTTGAGCCCAGCCTGTGGAGACTCAGAAAACTCTCATCATGGGATTTTGGCGGTCTCTTGGGCTACTTTGAGATGACTTTTTCTTGGTGGGGTGATGTTGGGGGCTCCCAGGAGTGGCGCTTTGTCTTCTACTTCGACGTGCGGCCTTTCAACCGAGAGACAGCCATCTTCAGTGGCCCACTCAGGAGCATGCGTTGCATAGAGGCGACTTTAAGGCTGGCAAAGTTCCATGTTTTTTTTGGATGAGAAAATGCGCAGGGGATAGTTGCCATATTTACCACACCGATGAGCATCCATTCCAACATCCCAATGAAATTGGGGGGGTCTCCCGTGTGGACTCAGGTTATTTGCAACAACCTTCCTTGAAAGCAACTGAGCAATTGGCGGTTTCAGACACCTGCCGGTAGTATACAAGAGAATGCCCCCCATCTTGACAAGATGTGACCAGTTCAAAAAAAGACGCTTTGTCAAACGGGTTGGTGGCAGAGTGAAGTGATGGCAAGGAGCATCCGTTGCTCATATGAATCACCGGGGTCCTGTCCTGGCACTGCCGGGTTAAATTCAATGTAGACCTGCGCGCCCAGCCCTACAAAGCCCCCACATCAACCCCAGATGGCACGATTCCCATTTACGTGAGTGAGTACATCAGAGACTAAACCATTCAAATCCCAGGGCTTGGGAGGTTGCGCCATCTAGGCTCACCCAACTGTAGACCTATCCACTCTGCGCCTGCGCCCCGCTTCTTAAGCCTCAGGTCTTGCAACCACCGGCGTGGTGCTGGTGCTCCTGCTGACGGGGCCCGGGCCTTTCAGGGGCTTGGAGTGTTTTTGACACATGGCCGCGGGTTTAAAGCCAATGGCCCCATTTTGGGGTAGGTGAATTCACCACCCATTTAAGAACCTATTTTAGTGGGGATTGGGGTGTTCACTGGGGGTACGGGGTTTTTGACCCATGGCCATACTATCCAACTAAGGTTTAACCTTCAAGGAGTTCGAACGAGAAAAGGCAACCGGAGCCTTCTGGAAGGAAGCCGGGTGAACGCTGTGCAACACATGCATGTGGCTTCACAAAATCCAGTCAACTGTCACGGACAGTCATTACACCTTCCTTTCCCCTTCCCCCCAAGAAGCTCCTCTAAGAATATTTGCAGACAACTGCTCCTGTCCAATTGGCGCCCTACTTGACAACCAGTACTGATTCAACAGGCTTGGTGGCCAATGTGCACATGAGTGGCTGTGTGTCTCAAATGCACGTTCTCTCTTTCTCTCAGGGCATTATCAGAGAGAGAGAGAGAGATGGATATATATATATATAATATATACCTATGATGAATGACACTTGTGGATGAGCATCAAGAAGGGCCTTGTATGACAAGCCAACCAGAAAGGGAATTCCTCCCCCGCCACTACGTTAGTAGGTGGTTTACCCATGCTTCTCCCACAACTCAAATGAATTTATCATGCTTCATCCATTCTAAGCTGGATTTCTCATGCTTCATCCGTTGCAGGATTGTGGGTTCGCTGCCTGTTGGCATGTTTCTCGACTGCTCGGTGCAGGTCCCTGATGTTTTCGCGGGACGCCAACCGCCTGATCGTGTCTCCAGTCGGGGGCCTGAATGGTTTGGGTGCGATGAAGTCCTTTAGCGATTCCGGTGACGTTTGGGGCGGATGATCCTTGCTCCTTGCTCTGTGATCCGGAGTGCCGGCATGGTCTTTTTGGGCACCAGCTCTTTGCCGGAGCGCTCCGTCGCAGGTCGAGCAGATGATTCGGCGTGTGAAGGAGATCCGTCTGGCCCTCGATCCTTCGAAGCGGTTTCGAGGGGTTTACGTGTTGGGGGGGGGGTGGCGTTGCATTGATGGTCAATCTTCTACTCAAACATGGGTTTTGCCCAGTGGACACGATGCGGCAGTTCTCCTGCGCTTCTCTGCATTGAATCCGACCATCACAAGGGTCTCTCAAACTTGAAAGGAACATCACCTCAAGGCTGACATTCTCCCAGATGCCCACTGACCTCGATATCCCAGAAAGGAGTAAAGACAATGAACCGATGAACCCAGTTTTTGCCTTGTGAAAGGGTTTCACGTGGGAGCACCCCTAAGGTGACAACCCTCTCATCGCCATGAAGATGGCAGATGACGAGCTGCGCGCTTGGCGAACCCGAATCCATGCCCGGTCCAAATGCCTGGCACGTTGGTTGGCTGGCTCAAACACGCCCATCCCAACAGGACCCCGAGCTTGCCGATGCGCGAGCTGTTGAACCAGCCGCTCAAAACTCCCAGGTTCAAGCTGGAGGAGCTGAAGAAGTTCCGGCTTCGGAACCAGGGGTGCCTCACCCGGGCGGGGGCGCCTGGAGAAAACCAAGTCATCAGATGTTAAACGCGCGCATGTCAGCGAGAAGGCAATAGGGCGTACCGCTTTTGATACAATAGAAGGGAAACAAGCAATCATTTCCCTGGTGTGTAGTGATAACGGTGGGAACCCTTTTGGGTGGGAACCCTTTTGGGGTGGGAACCCTTTTGAGAACATTGGAGGGGGCAGAGGGAACCTCAGCGGCAGGATGGGCACTCCCAACGTGGCACAAATCTAAGGCGAAGATACCAGGGTTCAACTGAGGCTTCTCCAGTTGAGTTCGCCGGGAAGGGGTGCCCAACGACAGAGTGCAACTCGCATTGAGCACCAGAGACCTCCAAGGCCTTCAACGCCTTGATCTCCTGCAGATGTTGGGGCGTCTGAGCCTCAATGCTTTGCTCCTGCGGTGCTCGGGCAAGGCTTTTCGGACCTTTGTTTTGGGTGCACGTCGCAGCCTCTACGAGGCCTGGGGAAGCCAAAATCAAAGTCCTCGGGTTGACCTGCCGCATTTGCATTCATGAAATCTGCCATGCTATTTCCGTAGCCGTCTGAGGGGCCCGGCCCGGCCCGGCGTGGCCCACAAGGGTGGGCGGCGATCGGAGCGCCATGAGCGAGGACGACCTCCCGCCGCTGCTGGGCGAGGATGGCGAGGAGCTGGAGCCCGCCGTGCCCGCGCCGGCCACGGCTTCGCCGCCGGCCGCGGAGCCGGCCACAGAGCCCGCCGTCGCGCGCCGAGGCTTTGGGCATGGGCATGAGGTCCCATGGTTTCCTTTTGGCTAGGGACGGAAGTTTTGGAAGGGTTTCCGGGTCTTAACGACCCTTTTGCCTACCCCTTCCGTCAGGCCTTGCTTGTGGGGCCAAGGGGCCCAACAGCCAGGCCCGGCGCTTGAAGAGATCTCGGACGATGAGGCTGAGGTCGCAGAGCGCCTGCGAAGCTCGCATCAAAGGGCCGGTAGAGTCGGTGAGAGCTGGGCTCAGGCTTCCAGTTTCCTGGGCTTCGGGCTCGCTTGGCGGGTAACACCGTCGAGAGTAATGTAGGTACTTGGGAATCAGATTCCTTTTTCAGGTGTTGAAAGTATACTGAGGAGGAAGAAACAGAGTGACTAGGCCCCTACCTCCCAGAAAGGTGTTCGACTCTTCGATGAGAACCTTCTCGCAGGGTGAGAGGTCTTTGGTTTCTCCCCATAAACTGCCTCGAACCACGGGATCAACATCTTGTTGGTTGGCAGATCGAAAGTCGCTGCCTTGAGAGGGGGGCTTAAAATATGTTGCTGTATCGTTTTCACTTATGCGCAAAGATGCGTAGCTAGCTCCTCGCGGCTGAGCCCTGCCCGCAGCAGGGCTTTCAAATCATCCCTGGATTGTTTTTTTTGGTTTACTCATTTCGCCAGGGCAACGCGCCTTCTGCGGCTGCTAAACAGGTGGCATCGGCCATGAAACCTGCGAAGATGTTTTCAAGTGGGGCCCTCGAAAAGGCTCCCCCGGTCACCTTCACGCCCACGGACGTGTCATTTGAGTGAAGCAGCTGCTGCCCCTTAACACTCAGAGGCTCCGACTTCTTTGATCCTGTGGTTTTGTTAGTTCATGGTTTGGGCCCAAGATGTTGTCCCTGAGACTTGTCGCGGTCTCGGTCATTTCTCTGAAGCCGCACTTTTGGGAGGGAGTGTCTTTCACCGCGTACTCCAGGTTGATACTTTTGCAAGTCAATCCGCAGGAAGCTTATTTCAATATGCGGAATTGTCATACATCTATCTTTTATTTCCTTTGCAACATAGAAAGGTATCTACCCTTTCCATATAAGCAAATCACAAACAAACAACTAGATTATAGAATTACGTGTATGCACATATTGGGTTAACGCATATTAAGATTAGTAATCGACAAACCCATCGTCCTTTTCAGGGCCTCTCCAACTGACCCCAGGAGCGGAGGCAGCAAAGCGCGCGGGGGCAGAGGTGCGGATGGGTTTGGGGCGGGTTCTGAGTCTAAATGGCTAACCGCAAGGGGGGCATGTCCAGCTCGTTCCATGTTAGAAGCAACTTGAGTGATCGGTGTCTGTTTGGTTACTGTACTCAGTTGTTCGAAGCTGACCTTTTGGCCTTTTGGTTTTCCCTTGTTTGGAGGTCCCAAAAGATTAACCGTTTATTTCCAGGTCCTTTGGGCAAGTGAGTATGGTTCTAGGGGTACCTTCCCCATTCTTTCCAGGGATCCTTCTTCGCAGGAAACCATTCAAAACCCAGGGGAAACAGCCGGTTTTGAAAAGAACGATGGTTTGCCAAGTTCGGTGAGTTCACTCTTTTCGTTTTCATGCCGGCGGGTTCTGCAGAGCACCTCGGGTCTGGAGCACGCATCGGGCGCCAGGCCGAGGTCTCGGCCAGTGACGCGATGGCAGCGGCCCTGAAGGAGGCCGTCGAGCAGTTGGGCGGGACTTTGGGCAGTGTTCCAGCAAAATGGGCACGGGTCAAAAAGAATCAACCAGGGACCGCAGGGTTTAGTCCATGTTTCCATTTACCAGGGTTCGTTTTGGGTACCTATTTTTAACCCACACCCATATCATATCCCTTGCTTTGCTAAAGATGAGGACCCAGCGGAATGCCAACATGGAACCTAACACGGGGTGTCTTGTTACGGGTTCATGGTCCAACACTCCCTAGCTGCAAGTTCCAGCGTAGCGGGTGAGAGTGAGAGGGTCAGCCGGCTCTGGCTCGCAACAGATTATCGATTTTTCCAGAGAGGCCAGGGCTCACACCCTAGGGGTCATGGAGTCATGTGGTCACAGGCTGAGGAGGAGAAGGTAGCCTTCAAGGAGCCGGACGCCTCCTGGCGAAAAGCAGGTAGAAGAGGGTGGCAGGTCCTCCCCGCTCCTTTTGGCTGGTCACGAGTGAACGCCCGTTGGACATCTTGCCTTTGGGTTTTTGAATGGGGAAGTTGCGTGGGCCAGAGGCTTCGACACATGAGGAAGAAGCAGGAACTGACAGCTCCACGGGTTTGTGCATCCGTTCCTCGTCATTAGCATGGTTTCACCTGCACGGCCACTTGGGGACAGAAGTTCGGTTTCGCTCGGCGCAAGGAACGGACCAAGCGCATGATCCAGGCCATTGCCAAGGACGACTTCGAGGAGTGCGAGGATGCCATCATGCAGGGCGCGGACGTGAGCGCCGACTGCGGCGCGGGGATGTGCGCCCTTCACATCTCAGCCCTCAGAGGCGCAATCCGAGGGTCTTTTTTTTTTTTGTGGGGGGGGGGGGTTGATGGTCCCCTGGTTTCAGCCATTCCCCCAGCATCGTTCTTGCGTTGCTTGAGCCACCAAGCTCGTGGACCATCACATCATTCCCCGTCCTCACGCCAGATCCTGGGGCAGGCTCAGCATAAGCTTCTGCATTTTGCTGGTGACGAAAAACTACAGCAAACAAAAAACATAGAACAGCGCTTAGCTTTGCGCTGCGCAGGGGAGATGTTTCTCACGGAGCTGCTCCTTGCACATGGGGCGCGCGTGAACCAGCGCGACCTAAGCGGCAACACACCGCTGCTGTATGCCTGCCACTTCTACCGGCAGCACGGGAAGGGCGTTCAGCTCTGTGCACAGCTGCTTTTTCATAAGGCGGACCCGCACTACCGGGTGAAGGCAGGCGTTTTCTCTTTTTTCTGTTGGAGGGGGTTCGAATCTCCAAAGCCCCCCCTCCCCTCCCCCCCAAATGTTTCCCACTTTTATGATACCAGCCTCATCGCAAGGATGGCAAGATGGCCGGCCAAAGCGCGCTGGACTTGATGGAGAAGGCCTGCAATGAGCCGAACACCGATGAGAATGTGCCCAGGTGCGGCCGTTTTTTTTTTTTTTCTTTCCTCTTCTTTCCGATGGGTGGGTGGGAGGTGGAAGTGGGTTGGGTTTTGGGGTTGCTCTGACGTGTGTTCTGCGAGTTAGTCTGTGCATGATGATCGCCCACTGTCCCCGCTTTCAAGGCAGATGCGGGCTATGCTTCAGCTGGCGCTGGATGGTTCCGAAACGTCCTTGGAGGCCATTACCAAAATGTGGGTGTCGATCAAGTCGCAGCCACCGAACAAGCCACTTGGCTGTTTGTCCCTACTAGCCTAGCCTCATTAGCAGCTCACAGGCGTGTTTCTGGCTTTGTCCAACAGGCGTGCTCTTTGTGGGGCAGCTTTGGCAACTTTCTGAAGCTATGTCCGGCATCTGAGGAAGCTGTTCCAAGTGTCTTCCAGAAGAGACAATTTTGAATATTCCATGAAGAGCATCAGCTGGGAGTTGCCCGCGGATGCCAAGAACTCCCAGGGCTACGCCCCTCAGAAGCTGGAGGTCGAGTCTGCCTCGCTCCTGGAAGAGAAGTTCACCATCCTGTCGGACTACCTCTTCAATGACGAGGGTGACAAGGCGCCATTCGCATTTTGCGTGGTGACTTCCAGGGTTCTTCTAATTGTTGCGCCTTGGGAAGTGCCTGTTGCATGATGCGTGGTGTGCTTCTGAACGCCGTGAACTGCATGCTATGGCACGCTGGTTGCTTCCGAAAATTGGGGGGGCACACAGACACGGCTTCAATCGGGTTTCCCACTCCACGGTTTTCCTTCATGTTTCATTCCAACACTGTCCAACCAGGGTGCCCAAGAGAGTTTCAGGCACCTGAAAACAAAGCTGGTGCCCGAGGTCAAGGTCTACGTCACGTTCCCGGAGTCTGCGGCTGCCGCCCTCTCTCAGAAGCAGGCTCTTGAGGCGCATGCAATCCGAAGGCCTACTCCAAACAACATGGACGTTCCATAGAAAAGTCTCTGGCAATGTGTAGCTCCAAGTTCTTGCAGCATCTCCCATGGCTGGTGAGGAGTGATCCAGTTCTTGCGGCTGAAAGCCCTTAAGCCTCCAGTCTGTTCCTCAGTCAAGTTGTCCTTAAGCAGTTTGCTTCCCATGAGTTTGCACGACCGGACTGGGACAGTGCGCCCCGGCATCGAAAGATGCTCTGCAAAATCCAGTCTTGACAATAAATAGCAAACGCAGCCATGTATTTTTCTTCGATGGTATAGATTGTCTTGATGTCCAAGGTAGCCTAGCCTCCCCCGATCCCCAACCCCTTCCACCCACCCCGGCCTTTTGGAGCTTGTAGACGAAGCACCTAGGGCCCGCCCTCCTTTTGAGTCTGAGAAGGTCGGGTGGCTCTGCCCCCAAAGTGGTATGTCTCCTTGTTTTGAAGGTTGATCGCCCCTTCAACCGATCCCTACAGGCCCAAAACCTCTCTCGCTAGATTCTTTCTGGGCGCGAGGTGTCCTTCGAGTATCAGGCCTTCGACCTGAAATTGCGGGCACCGGCAGAGAGCTTCAGACTGCGACTGGAGCCTTTGTATGGCAGCATCGAGGCGGGGTCCTTTTCCTTGTGCCTCACGTCCCCAGCTAGTGGCCTGAACGCCTCAAACGGGAGGACCGTTTTAGGTAACAGGAAGTTTGGACTTGTTTAGGCCAGCGATACGGGGCAATAATAACACTTACATGACAAAAGCCAGTGTTTCCTTTTATTGCATGAGTTTAGAGATGCATGTAAACACATGCACAGACACACGAGTACAGATTAATCCGCATATGCACGCTCATATACATATATGTTCACATGCATGTATATACAGGTCTATATCTAAGATACACATACATACATACATGCATGCATGCATGCATGCATGCATGCATGCATTCATACATACATACACGCATGCATACATTCGTACATACATACCTACACATGGATGCATGCATGCATACGTTCGTGCATACATACATACATACATACATACATACATACATACATACATACATACATACATACATACATTCATACCTACACATGGATGCATGCATGCATGCATGCATGCATGCATGCATGCATGCATGCATGCATGCATACGTTCGCACGTGCATACATACATACATACATACATACATACATACATACATACATACATACATACATACATACATACATACATACATACATACATACATACATACATACATACATACATACATACATACATACATACATACATACATACATACATACATACATACATACATACATACATACATACATACATACACGCATACATACATACATTGCATACGTTCGTGCATACATACATGCATACATTTATACCTACACATGGACATACGTTCGTACGTACATACATACACATACATACATACCTACACATGGATGCATGCATGCATACGTTCGTACATACACATACATACATACATACATACAGACAGACAGACTGACAGACTGACAGACAGACAGACAGACAGACAGACAGACAGACCGACAGACCGACAGACCGACAGACCGACAGACCGACAGACCGACAGACCGACAGACCGACAGACCGACAGACCGACAGATCGACCGACCGACCGACAGACAGACAGACATACAGACATACATACATACATAAATACAATTAAATACACATATACACACATACACACATATACACATGCCTAATACACACATGCAACATAAGGGTATAGAGAGAGATGCGAAGATACATGCACAGCGTACGGTTTACGAAGGGAAGATGGAGTTGGTTTTGCGAATGCGTGCGGGCTGATTGTTTGCCTGGCGTGGTTGGCGCTTCAATGGTTGGCTGCAGTGCTGCAGGGGCTTGCAAGTAGTCTCTGTGCGTGTAAGTGCGCGACGGCTGGCAAGTTGCAAGTGCCAAGCCCCTCATGCTGGAAGGCATGCAGGATAAACCACTCAATTGTTCCTTCTTTTTTCTGGGGGCGAGAGGAGGGGGTGCCCAATGCTGTTTTTCATCCATGCGGCTGTCAGCGCTTGACGGTCTATGCCGGCACGCAGCGGTTTCCGATATTCGCTTGAGATCAGTGGGGCCCACTCGACTTTGCAACCTGCCAGGTGAATGAGTGCAAGCACCGGGCCTCGCCCGGCTCTAGGAAGGTGACGCTGACGTTAGTGAAGCGGCATAAGAACCGCACCTGGTCAGCGCTGCAGAAGGCGAGATGAAAGACCCGCGCGCAAACCCGCAGAAAAACAGTGCGCCCGGCTGCCGGCGGATTTGGCACAGGCTGTGGATGTGATTGGCGGAGGTGGCTCCTCCAGTTTCGTTTCCGCGCACCAGCGATTGAATCCCCGTGCCATCCGAGGGCCACAAGGAGGGGCCTATGGAGACAGTCATCCTAGAGAAGACCATCATCAAGTGCGGGCCCCGCATCGCTGCGCGACCCGCGCGCTCTGGTCAGCTGGGTGTGTTTTGCGCTGGGGCAGGATTTGCGTGCTTCATGGAAACCCTTTTTTAAGGTGATTCTTTTAAATAGAAGGAGGGTTCAAAGGAAAGCCACGTGTAGCACGAAATGTGGCATCAGGCCTTTGCGCCACTCGTTATCCCAGTTGCACCTTATGGGGAGATTGAAAACACCCTGGCCACACTTGCACGTTCTACTGACAGTTCTTGAGAAAAAGGGAATGGCTCTTCATGTTGGCTGGGAATCATTCGGACCAATTCGCCTGTTGGATCCGAATGCTTCTCCACATCCGTCAGCAGAGCTGCTTGTCACCCACTCGGCTTCTGGATCGACTTCAGGTTGGGCTCCCTTCTGGCCCTAGGCTTCGGAGAGGCTGGGGTCCACGTGCACGGAAGATGGACCAACCAGAAGGGATGAAGGCGGTCCCCCAATCTGCGTCGAGAATGCGCCACCCACTTTTCCTCAAAGGGTTTAGATATGAATGCTGGGATCCCAGCGTTAGCCCCACTGAAAAGAACGTATGGTAAGCTCGCGTGTAGGATGCCAACTCACAGCTCCGCGTGCTGTGACGCCCATGACAGCACTCTCTTTTGTTGTGATGCTCACCAGGGGTTTGCTCGGCCAACTTGGAAATTCCATGCCGCGACCTTTGCCCTTAGCAGCAAATCAGTTTCCGATTCTTCTTGAGGGGGTGGTTTACTTTGACAAGCGCCGGCAGGCACTTGTTTCTTGCCCAGAGGATCCAAGTCAAGTCCCTGCGTGTTTCATTGTTCAATGTTCCCGAATTTGACGAACACTTGTCCGAGGTGCTGTTTTGCAAATCCGCCGGGCCGGTCCTGGGTGTGGGCAAGGAAAGGGACTTTTGCTAAAACTGCAGGCCGGCGCCAACATCATCTCGCACAACATGAAAGGTCAGGCCCTCGGAAGTGTTGGCTGAAAGCCTAAGTGCCAGCAGCTTTGGGCATGGCTCATATGCCTCGCTGGGATGTGTTGGGGAACTACCCAGCCACCCTTATTTTCCAACAAAGTACCGGCGATAATACCCACATCAACCACTTGTAGTTAGTTTTCCTGCGCTGCTCTATTGGCGGGGGCTGGTGCCTGAGAAAGGGTAGGGCAGGTGCACCGACGCTACCTCCCCGGAAGCATCTAAACACATTCAGAAAATGGATGCACAAATCAACAAATGAGTGACTTACAACATATACTGTTTATATATATATATATATATATACACTTTTATTATTTACTTGTTGCATACATGAGTATATATATATACGATGCACATACACACAGCCCCCACCCAGTGTGACTGGGTCAGCCGTGTGAGGCTCTGACAGCGCGGGCATCAACGCGGTGCTGCCGGGCGTGCGGGTGGACTGCGTCATCGGCTGCTGCCGGGTCCTGGACTTCAGCACCACCACCGAGGCGCGCGTGCGCGCGTCGAGGGTCGACGTACGCGAGCGAGCCGATCTGCTGCCAAATTGGTGCGGTTTGCACGCGCCGACAAGGCGTGCAAGGTTTACAAATGATGCAAGGTGCCTCTTGCCCCATGTCCATCAGCCATTGCTCCGTATTCATGTTTGTGCACCTTTCCTGTTCTTGTTCCCCAAGATGCTAATCTGCCAGGGGAGTTCGCTTGCCTGGTGACTTCCGGTGATGTATCTGGGCTGCGCTTCTGACCTCGTTGAAGGTCCTGCAGGGCCGCATCATGACCTTCGTGAACCAAATCGCGGAGATCATCCACGGAGTGGTGGACGAGTTCCACGGGGTCCGCAGAGGGGGCTTTGGATCTGTGGATCGGTCGGTGAATTCTGTCGGCTAGTGTTGTGAGACAATCTATCGCGGTGTCTTTGATTTCAGCTTGGTCGAGGTTCGCCATTGCAGGGCAACCGTGCGTGAGTAATGTCCTTTCTTGGAGGTTCCGCCAGGCGTTCAGGTAGGCGAAATGAACAGACTTTGCTCAGATAGATCGAATGGCTTGGTACAAGTGAATGCTCAGGGGCCCGCCGGGCTCCAAATTATCGTCCTCTCTCTTCATGAGTCTCGCCTCGGGAGCTTGTGTTCAGTGAGTCTGGGAATTGCTCACCCATGACTCGAGCAAAGAGAGGGGGTTGACTACCCGAGCTTTCCCTCTGCACTTCCGCCCCCATCCGGCTTTTGCTCGTGCGCCATGCCAGTCGCCCAACAAGAACAGCGGCGAGCAGTTCCTGGTGATTTGGCGCATGAGCACCGACAACCAGGAGGCGCGAGATCATCATTTGCCAGCTAAAGGGGGGGGGGGGGTTTCGCTTGATGTTTGGCGGCCTAGAGGGGAAGCCTCTAAGGAAAGAGTGTACGAGTGCATATATATATATATATTAATATATATAATATATACACATATATATATATATATTAGCAACTATGTACAAATTTGAGTGTGTCCTGTTTTGAGGGTAGCATTTTTGGGGTTAGGCTGGATCCCAAGGACGCCCGCCATTATCGATGCCCCGCCGTCCACCTCTCCCGGCGGAGGTGGGGGACCGCCGGGCGGCACGCACCCGGATCGCGGAGATGTCCATCGTGGCATTCTGCAAGATCGTGGGCTCGGGGCCCCCAGCGGGTGTGTGTGTGTGTGTGTGTGTGTGCATCTTGTGTTTGGGAGGGGGACGTCCCGTTTGGTGGGATTCCAGGCAAAAGGCAAAACGATGGTCACCATGTTGGGGGGGTCTCTAACTTTGAAGGCAAAAACAGGAACATAAGAATGTTGGGGGGGGGGTTCTGAGAATTTTCAAGGATTTCATCGAGCCCTGCTGGCAGACGGGAGCGGTTAGTCATGATGAAGGTTCTTCAATTGCGATCCAATTCTTATTGCAGGTTTCGGAATTGCGATCTCCGCAGAAGACAAGGGGTTCAGGTCCTTGTTTTGGAGGGAGCAGCGGCTAGCCATGGTTGTGGACCCTGGTTGGCGCAGGAAAACCAGCATGAGTTTCTTAATTTGTGTTCCATAAATTTATGTACATGAGGTTCGGTAGGCAATTCCGGTAGCATATGGTCCAATTGAGAGAACACCGGGGGTTTGTAGGCGGACTCGCTCATTTTCCCATGCCCCTCAGGCTGCCCGCCTTTTTGGAGCATGGGCTCACATAGAGAAGTAGCATGCACCATGCAGGAATCGCAGCGGGTAAATTTTAGACGCCCAGCGTTGGGAACATGGTTCTGGGAAGTTGTGATGCCGGGGAGACGTCTTGGAAGTGATGAAGTCGGTGTCTTCTCGCCCCGTTCCGGGGGGTTAGGGAGCCCTCACGCCTCAGGCGCGCTGCACCGTTCAGCAATCCTGGCAGGCTGGGAGATGGACTGGCGGAGAAAGGAACCAGACCCTAGCTAGGCAAACCAAAGGAGGTTGTTGAACCCCGGATTGATTAGTCCAAGGTCAACATAACTTGGTTGGGATCAGATCAGTTTAGCTAGCTGCCCGTTCCAATACGCCCATGATCGGGAATGCACCAAGCAACGTCAGAGACTTTACCGGGGCCGCACTAGGTTTTTTCAGCAGCTGCTTCGGGAGTGCCCTGGAAAAGCTACACGGATTTCCTGTCCGCGACCTGCGCCCACAGACTACCGTACGCATCCCGGGCTTCAATACCGGCTTCAAGCCAGAGGCCGGGCGCGCTGGACAGTTGGACGATCTACTTTGAGATTGCGACGTTTGGACTGGAGCAGTTTTTCCCCTGTGGGGTGGCATTCCGAACCAAGTCGCACACCGTTGGGAGGGGGGATGGACCAAGAGGCATCAAATTCTCGTGCTGTGCTGCAGCCAGACACAGGACAAACAGGAGGAAACAGGAAACATGATTATCCCCACCTCTGGGCCTGGGTTCTTGATACTTGTTGGGAGATCAGCTGACATGGGTTGTCCTGCCCCGATCACCTGGAGGGTGTCCGCCCTGTGCCGAATGAGACGCCCCCCAGGAAAAGATCCGGGATGAAGCCACCTCACTTTGAACCCACGTACGCCCCGGCTTCGGCTTTTTTCGTGCCAGGCTCGGAAGCCTCGGAGATCCGGGTGAACCTGAGCTTCGGGCTCCATGCTGGCTGGGCCATTGAGGCATATGCGTCGGGCGTGCTTGGATGGTTTTGTTGAGAGATGTCTCGCTTGGATGGGAGAATCTGAAAGCTGGAAGGGAAGGTCTATCTCTCGCATATTGTCGTTGCAGCGGGTTAATCCTGTCCCTTCGCAAACGGCCAAGCGAAGGAATGGGAACGGACTGTGGGCAAGCATGAGAGTTAATTCACTCGCATTCCACATCGTTCTTCCTTACCCAGCCTCAATCATAGGTGACAAACGAATTTAATAGCCTATTTTGGTTTAGCCGTCCGGCTTTTACTTGTCCACATTGAAGTGGGTATTGTCTACTTTCGCCATGGTGTTCTCCAAATTGTTTTTGGTGGGTCTCCAAGCTACTTTTGGGGTTCATTGAGGTCCCTTCTTGTTTGGTGGGTTCCCATCAGGAATTGTGGCTGGATTTTGCGGGCTTCTCCAACTAGTACTTTTGGGTAGGGCTCCATGTTCTGTCAGCTTCCTATGAATTTGCAGTTTCCCAACACGTGCCTGCCGAAGGTTTGACTGGTATGTGATAGCGTTGTTTTTTTTGGTGGATGGGCCACACAGAAAGAGACTAAGCAGAAGGCACATACACACACGTACGCCCTGTATATCATGTACGAATGGATGCATATGTATATATATATATATACATACATATGTGCATATTTATGCCATATATTTGTACACATGTGCA